TATTATGCTGTGACACTCTATTCAACAATGGCTTACCAGTTGCAATTACAGACTTCTTCACCGCACCGTTGTCGTCCCACAATTCGGAGTAAGGCCTGGAGTTTACATTTAGCTTATCACTGAACTTGCTCATCGGTTCACAGTTCACCTCTGTATGCACTTCTTGCAAACGTGTAAAACACAACCGTGTTTGTCTTGCATCTTGTAACTTATCTGTTGAGGATGTACTACGTATCCTGTTACACTCACTAGGTCTATATGCATTACTATACATCATGGAGCCTTCTCGATATCCACCTCTCTGAGGCCTATTCGTCATCAATGATTGCATTTTGCCCTCAGACTGCTCTATTCTAGGGGTGAGATTCAATATACTGGCAAACGTGCTCATAGATTGATTGACAATATTATTTACCAGTTTCAGGATATCATCAAACTTTGGCTCAATAACTTCATCCTCTATGCGGGAGCCTATCTTCACCCACTTCCTTTGCAGTCGAGTAGGTAGGCGTCTTGCTATTACTTCTAGTGTAAAACTCGAGTTGAGGTCACTCATGCAATTCATCGAAATCAATGCATTCTTGTAAATCAGCAAATTATCTAAAAACTTAGTAAGTGCCTGGGAGTCATCCTGTAATTGACCACCATTACCCTTAACAGCCTCGAATAATTTCCCTACAATCATCGAAGGTCTTCCAAACCTTTGACGTAATATGCTCATAGCCTCGTAGTAGCCCTCTTTTGGCTTCATAAACTTACAGCACTGTATAGCTCTTGCAGCATCTCCAGTTCAATATCTCATCAAATACATTAACTTCAATTCATCATTTAATAGAAAACTATTCAGCATGATCTCAAACTCCTTTACAAATTGTAAATAATCAGCCGGGTTTCCATCAAAACACCGTGGTTCTAATTTAGGGAGTTTGATGTTCCTATTATCCCTGAACGGCGAAACAGTAACATCAACCATGTCATGCTTAACATCAGACACATCGTTACAATTAACAGACAGGTCACCATGACTTACTTTCCTGTTTGCATCCAAGACACTCTATCCCTTCTTTGACCCAGGCATTGTTGAACTTGACCAGATTCCAAAAACGTTCCAGATATTGCTTGTTCAAAGAGGACTTGACCGGCACCAGGAAAGATGAATGTTGACTATCCAAACTTTCACCAACTGTCTGAATCCGCCAGATCTGTTTCAGGGAATCGGGATCTGCAGATAGACCACAAGCCAAGTTCAACACTCAAAAACTGAAGTGCCAGGCTAAAAAAGACACCTTCATTGCAAGCATAAAGGACAAAGTCTGGACACCAATCAACACCAGCGAAGAGGTTGTCATCAAAAAGCAATGTGACAAATTGAAAACGGTGAGCAGTCAAATCTGCATGGAAGTTCTGGGTAGAAAGAAGAGGCAGGACAAACAGTGACTCTGTCAGCCACGTCACGTAAGCCGTAAATGCCCAGCTCTTACTACGCTCGGGCCCACGCTGTTCCTTGCAGTTTTTGAGAAACGCTTAGTAATAACGGACGAAAAAACCAAAAGACCGATTGGCCACTCGAGAATTCTTTATTGTTACACCAGCATATAAAAATAATGTTTTTACTAGGGTCTGTGAACAAATATTACAATAATAAATCACAATATTACTTCTGACGGTTTTGTCCTGACTTCTTTCTGAACAGCGACCGATGAGACGGTGACTGTCGTATTGATGCCTCCGCGAAAATTGGGGAAGTTGGTTTGGGCAAACAACCATGAATTGATCGTTCAATCTTCAACTGCATTGACAAACACAATACTTTAGATTCAGCTGCATTCTTCAATCATAACATTGTCTCCATTTTGAGCAAGGAGGCTATATTTGTCCGCTGCACCTTCTTAGATTCCATATGTGCTTTAGACTCATAACCTAGGGACATTTCGCTAAACAGGCCTGCTGAATCTCAAACTAACACTTGGGTTGTCAAATGTCTGCATTCTTATTTCTCAAGAAAAAAGCAGTACACTGTAGGTCAGCGAAAGTCGTCCACTTATTTGCTTACTGAGGCTTGTGTCCCTCATGGTGCTGTCCTTTCTCCTTTTCTGTTTTCTTTCTTCTTGCGTGACTTGCCTCACTCTGATGATGAAATGAACTTTGTTAGGTACGCCGATGATCCAACTATTTCAACGCCTGTTAACTCCCAGCCTGACTGTACTAAGCTGAACAACTTTCTATCAGGAGTTAGCAAATGGTTTTCGTCTAACGGTCTTAAACTAAATCCTTCTAATTATAAGACCGTTAATTTCATTTTTCGATGTAAAAGAAAGTTAAATGAAGCTGTCGGTTCCAGTGACCGTTGCAAAATTGATGATAATGATGTACAAATCAAGTCTAAAGTTAAGTATCCCGGATTAATTCTTTCTTCTGACCTATCCTGGTTTTCCCATCTCTTAGCGATATGTAAAACAATATTTCGTCTGTCTTTTTTGCATGAAGAAGTTAGGGCACTCAGGCATAACCCAAGCCCTCCTCTTACAATTTGTCAACTCTTGGATCTTACCTATTCTTCTTTACTGTTCACTCTTGTTCTTTCCTGGATTACCCAAAAGAGATTATGTCATACTTCGTAGAGCTGTGAAGACTATCAATAGGGTGAGTGGCATCCCTTTGGGCCATATCGTTGATCTCGTCATTGATAGGCACTTGATTTCATGCAACAAATTAGCTAAAGGAATTTTGTCATAATGCGAGCATTCACCTCAGCCCCGCAGCCCCGACCTTGTGTCTCCTCAGGTAAAACAAGAAGTCTTTTCAGAAGACTTAATGCACGTACGTCTAAGTATAAAAATTCTGCTATACCATATCTGGCAGCACGTACTTTGTGTGATGAAAATAGTTTTAGGCATGAACTAAATAACTAACTAACCTTCTTTGCATTACTAAATAAACCATTTCCTCCACCTTTACAACATCAAGCATTATTGTTATTGTACTTCTGATATTTATAACCCTCTCGAATTTGTGTTTTTGTTTGTTTATTTCTTCATAAGTGTGAAGAAAATTTAGGTTGTGTTGTAACTATTAATTTTGTATTTCCCTTCACCGAACTGTATCAGCGGAACATTAGATTCGATAATCTTTAAGATGCTAAAATTTCCAAACTGAATCGACAATACTGTTTGAAACAAACTCACTGTTATTATTATTACATTTGATATTCTCAATTCGCACTTCGAATATTATTGACTTTATATCGTAAAAAGGGACAAATTTCTCCGGATAATTTTGTTTTAATTTCTAATTTTGTTGATATTTTGAGTAAATCGAATGCAGTATTGTGACAAATGCTGAGAATTCCATTCTGTATTACAATTACTGTCTGTTTGGGAATAAAGTAGATTATTGTTATTGAATAGACTCTCCAATGATTCGAACTGTAGCGTCTCAGTCACCCGTAATTATTCCCCGTGTAAACCTACCTGTTCAGAGATGAGAAGGTCTTAATTGTCAAGATTTTCTGAACGGTGAGGAATAATGGGTAGGCAATTAAGGCTGTGCTCAGACTAGAGGTTGCTGAATATGAAAAATTATGTAGAAGAAGAAGGTTTTGGTACCACATTCTTGACAAACTGAATATACACACAATAGTAGTCATATATAATTGCAGCTGTGCAGTCAACAGAATAGTTTAGCCGAAAGAATCTTTTTGTCGGATTTTCGTTCCTGTTTCCTCGTCATAAATGCTGATAGAGGTTTATTTATGGTTCTGTGAAATTTTTCTTGCTTACTTCTTAGTTAACTAATCATTATTCTGTTCACCGCTGATTCATCAGTTACATATGATATTCAAATATGAATAGGAATGATAGTCTCTGGTGTCTTCCAAAAATAATAGATGTATTTTTAACCTAATCATTTATTTTGAGAACCCCATCGGTTCAACGGGGAGAGAATAACTTGGCACAAACTAGTGTGTCTGACAGGATCAAAGATGACTCGAAGTAAAACTGCCTGCTAACTTTCTCAATCGGTTGAATGTTTTCAAGAACCCCGGAAAGGTATCTGATGATATATATACGAGCTGTTTCAGACTGCGCTCTAAATTTTATGCTCACCATAAAAGACATCTAAGATATATCAGCAGTTTTCAGATGACTCTGCAGTATAACGTTGAAGTAGGACATTCAGGATATTTGTAAGAGACGCATATAGCTCTAGATATCGTAGGTGTATATATCAAATACCAGCTGAGTGGTAATATTTTAATTACATTGCAAAAATTGATAGTTATTATTATAGTTACTGATTGAAAAGTATCATCTCCATCTGATTTCATATCAGTCATCATACCCAATTCAGCAGGTTGTATCTGTCACCTTGGACAACGAATCGACAACATCAGAAAAATCATGGAGTTTCTAATGATAAAACTCGAAATAAATTGTCTTTAAGGGTTGTTTGTGGAGAAAAACATTGATTTGTAAAACAACATCAGGGGTAGATAATTAAACTCGTAGTTTTACTTCTTTACATTCTCTCCCCTCTTACTCTCCTGACAACTTATTAATATTATAATTACTATTATTATTACTATTACCGATTTATGTTATTCTTCAAACTTAATGAGCTGACTGTTGTTACGTTTCCTATTTTCGTTTCTGTCTCTTAGTCTGAATAGCTTCACTAATTATATCTATTATTATTACCATCTCTTTTCTCTTGTCGACGATACCGAAGGACTAACTAGCGAAAGGATCAACTCCAATCACAGTAGTAAAAGTCTTAACATACCTCATACTACAAACCACATATAATTAATCCCAGCACTACTCCCTTTGGAGTCAACCAAAGCTACGACAGTCGAGTGGCGGGACAAGCTACGCGGAAGTTTACCGAAGATCAGGAACCTATACCTCACAATCAAGAAGCGAGCAAAAATATGTCAAATTGGTTTATACTAGCTCGTAAAAACGATATTGGATATTGGATCTCAGAATTTTGGGTTGTACATTGAATCAAGGTTAACTGCGCAACTGCTACCCCTAAAGGTCAGCTCCACCAAATGAAAGAATCATCGTAGTGTTGAGATATGTCGTGAGCCTACTTCGTACGTCTTCTTTACTGACTGTTGTAATAAGTAAACATTTTAAAACTTGCCGTTAGTCATCTGATTTGTAAGCAATGATTTGATAAATATTCGGTTGTCGGAATTTACTTTCATTCTTCAAACAAGTAATAAATCCGACCACTTGTTATGCGTGAGGAATTTTTACATTGTGTTGAATTACTGCGAACAGTGTGCTTATACTATTTTGTACTCCTGAGTCTTGTCTAAGACCAATGAATAACAAACGGCTCTGTGTCAATAGAAAATCCCAAAGCAATTTATCATTGCTTCGTAGTTCTCCAGGTGGTATCCTTTTCTCAAGTGTAGCCGGTGGTCCTCTGCATGTTCATTCTCCAGACAGAAATTCTGAAAACTTTGCTGCAAAGTCTACTGATGGTGAATATGGAAGGGTTGCCAATCCTGTATCTCTGTTTAATAGTTTGTTAGACCCTAATATAGAGTTGCCAACCATCAGTGTTCGCGAAGTTGATGAAATACTTAGCAGTTTAACAACTCCAAATTCCTCCCCAGTCAAGACAGCAAGTGGTACTTCTGGCATAATCAATGCCCATCCCAATTACTGTGATACACGTGATGGTTTGTGTCATAATGTTGCCCAGCACAACAATAAGCAGTCATTAGAGAAGAACTTATTTGATGGAGTGGAGTGCTCACCAAATCCTGTGGAAACAAACAGTGTGAAAAATGCAAACATCACAGAACGAAACCTAAATGGTATTTCACAGATTTGCATTAAAAGTAATGGCGCGGGTAGAATATCTACGTCAAGTACATGTCGTAATGCAGCTGAAAATTTGTCTAGTAGCAAATATACTCTTGGAAATTCTTTTTTGCGAAGTACGAGTTTTATGTGTCCTGAGAGAAAGCGTCACACGGATACTGACCTACGTACGAATCAAGCTAACCGTAAAAATAACACGAAAACTGTATCTTTGCAGTCTATGATGGATATCCTACCATTATTTCCATCTTGCCGAAGTGTAGCTGAATTAGGTGCTTTGGCACTTGGGCCTGAATCTGAAAAAACGACAGATCATAGTTTCCATAAACAAAAATCTCCTGTGTCATTGCATCCCAAAGCATGTTCTGGTACCAACCTGTGCAAACCACCCTTTAAAATGCAAATTTCTAGTTCTTCTCGTGATCGTTCTCCTATTGGTAGTTTGGATCTAGCTACTCATAGTAGATACCAAAATGCAAGTGCTTCAAGTGTTCAAGAAGCGACTAAATACCGACAGGCCTACCTTTCTGTACGCAAAGCGAATCAAGCCAAGGTTTTGTCAAAATCCACTACGACTGTACCATCCTCCGTTCTTGAGAGCAAAAACCAAGACACACCGAAGAATCATCATGTAAGTCGAACTATTCACAGTTTATTTTCACTCCATTTCATTTGAATACGTGTCTATTTAACTTGTGTTTCGAAATGTTTTTCTGAAGTGACTTTGTGATGAAACTTCTACTAATATGTATTAACACTGAATTATTCGCTAGGCAAAGCCTTAGTATTTTAGTAACTGTGTATAGCCGCCTCAATACTTGTCCAAACAAAAAGCGGCTTCAAGGTTTTATCACTTATTAGCACTTTTTCTCTAGATTATGAATTCACTTGCAAAATTAGAGCTGTTTTATTTGCTAGCAAGCTAAATGTATCCTTATTTCCACACTCCAAACAACAATTAACTGGAAGGAAGTGATCTAAATTTAGCCCCAAATATGGCTTTCATTTTGTGTAGTTCATTTACACGACCCTGGACATAGTATGTATCAACTAGAAGCATGTATTTTATTTTTTGTTCTAGTCGGAAAACAAAATTTTATAGTAAAAAACAAAGCTTGTTTCAGGCGTCAGAAGCAAATTACCTTCTCTTTGAAGTAGAACTTCACAAACGGAGAACGGCTGGGAAAACCATTGAAAAACAGCGATGCGACCTTAAATAACGGTCTATAGCCTATGTTGATGGCCAAGCAAAAAATTTGACATCAGTCCATGAAGTCTTCGACGGTTAATTTGAACCACGTAGAATTGCTGTGGGCGGACGGATTAAAGTCTTGGAGATGGTAAGAACTGATGGCTGAAGACTATTAGTGATATGGTTCAAAATCTTTCTCACCAGCACAGATGCATCCATTCTTTGTAATCTGCCGTATCCATTATAACTCCTAATGTTTTTCCATGTTGCAGTTCTTTCTCCTACTCATTTCTGAGTATTATCATTCTTCCGAATCACCTTTTTCCTTTTTCGTCTACCTTTGTGTGCTAAATGGAGCATGATAAGTCAGACTGATACGCTTCTGTGCCAAAAATCATTAAAATCATTGGGATACGTACGAACCTGAAAAAATTAATCCATGTTCCTCTTGACACCAATATTGGTAGAATACAAACCTGTTTCAAATTTGTTAGGATTCAGTATGAGATGAAAGTAGTTTTAGAAGTGACTTTTTTCCATCCACCAAATTTTTGGTTATCATTTTGGTAATTCAGACCATCTATCCGGTGCACTTGAACAGAGAAAGAAGAAACATTGGCGCAGAATAATCTGGATCCGCCTTATTTCGTTGGTTCTCATCAGCACCTGCGTACAACCAGAATTTTTTAATAAAAATAAGTGTACAATTTTAACAAACCTTTGTCCATTAGCAAGCATATTGCCAAAGCGTCATAGTAAAATAAGGCGTTGAGATTTAGGGACCGAATTGTTTAAGCTCTTCAATCGCCAAACACCTGATTGTCACAGGACACCGAGTAGATGTGCTAGAATCATTCAAAATAATTAACGGACAAAATACCTCAAGTCTGAGGTTTGCTGAAGCTATAGCAATGAAACGATTGAAGCCTGACTTATGTGTCCAAAAAGAATCCGTTGTTGGACTTCAGTTACCCTGGTGACTTACTTCTTAATAACTCTTTGTTTTCTAATTTTGTTGGCTCATCTTCTCACTCCACCTCACCCCTTTTATTTTTCGCTTGACTCTCTTAAGAGATAATTTTTCTTGATCTTTTGAGTTCTGCTCACTGTATCACATCATCAACCTCTCATCTGACCTCATGTGCATCGAAATTTTAAAGTTTCGATCTTCTCTTATCTCATTACGTAACTATTGCTAATTGTCTTTTGTTACCACCCCAACAACACAACTGTCAAATAATTTTTTTCTCTACCAGTATATATCGTAACACTTTAGACACCCTGTAAATCTCAACGCCTTATTTTACTATGACGCTCTGACATTATGCTTGCTAATGGACAAAGGTCTGTTAAAATTGTACATTATTTTTTATTAAAAAATTCAGGTTGTACGCAGATGATGAAAACCAACGAAATAAAATGGATCCAGATTATTCTGCGCCAATGTTTCTTCTTTCTTTGTTCAAATATCCGGTACACGTTTTCTTGTATTGTGGTACGTAAGGCACGCCTATTTTCTGGCGAATGTTTGTGGTGTTATTCAAATTAGATGAAAGATGGTTAGAAGATCAGACCTGTTGGTTAGAATGAATCACATTAATGCGTAACACTACAATGAATTTTGCCATAAAGCTTGTGGCAGTCTACTCAATTCATCATTTCAAACTAAACAGCAAAGTAGTATTATAATAGCCTCAGAAACTGAAGTTGCGTCTTAGGCGAACGCGTGGCACATGAATTTGTCTTCAGCCTTTACTTTTTAGGCATTTTAATCAGTTTAATGCATAAACTTGTATTCAGTTACCTATTTTAATGTGTGTAAAACTTGGGCACTGCTAGTAAGTGATTTCATATTAGTTTGTTTATTAGATATATCACACAATCAGTGAAACAGTATTATTTACTGAACGACAAAGTTTCGAACATACTTTATTGTTCATAATCATATCATCAGTTATAATCACACGACTTTGAAATTTGAGTTTTTATATTTTTCTTTGTCCTCTCCTATTTGTCGCCGTTGCGGTAGTAGAATCTTCCAAATATCTGGGTGGACAGGGGTTGAATTATTCCCATTACTTGTATTTGCAATTTCAATAAACAAAGCTTCCGTTATCAATCTCTCCCTCCACCCTGTTACATTAGATTTTAAAACTACTGTCATCTTATCCCAGCCTATGCTGTATGGTTGTGTGTAATAACATGTAGTGCTATAGCTTTGTCACAATGGTTTATATGTATTCAGTGAGAACTCAGTTAAGAACAACCGACTTTACATGTTGTAACAGACTACAATATATCATGTTATAATTAAGTTACTAGGAATAGGTTTATTTTCATGTATCGAGTTATGAGGGAGATTTATTGTGTAAAAAGCTGATGGTACTATTCAGTTGCCCAGGCTGAAATAGGCCGGACAGAATCTATAAACTGAAACTGACGTTAGGCGTAGAGTGTTGGGCAAAGAGGGAAAATAAATCGACGAGGCTATAAAGTTACATAGACTGAGATGGCTAGGTCACGTGCTGCGCATGCCTAACCATCGCCTCCCCCGACGGGCATTGCTAGCTGATATAGGTGCATGTTGGAAAAGAGCCAGTGGTGGTCAAACAAAAACATGGCATCAATCCATGAAATCCTTGACAGTTAAACTGAGTCAGGTAGGGAGATGCAGACTTCCGGGTTGGGGTCCTCGGGACTCTAGGAATCAGTGGCTGGAGACAATAGGTGACACGGCTCAAAATCGTTGTCAGTGGCCAGCGCAGATGTATTCAGTCTGTGTAATCTTTCATATTCCTTTCTACCATTACCCATTCTGTTTCACTCTTATATTTGTCAAACTCTATTGATTCTCTTCACTCATCTTCTTGTCTACCTTTTTGTGCTATTTGGAAGGTGGCAACTGGAACTGCTGCACTTCGGTGCCAAGTTCTATGTTGAATCCAGACAGACAGACAGACAGATAAACTGAAACTATTGATTGGAAGATAACTGTCTAAGCCTATAAGCTACATCTCTGTCATAGTGTATTTATTCCTTGTCATCCAACTTCTGCGAATCTTCACTTTCTTATTTCCCATGACTGACTGACCGATAATTACATTTGTTCTCTCTATTTTTGTCTGCTGTCTCAAAAATGTGGCACATTCGTTTGATGATGCAGCTTACATGTTCATGTGTTACACTTATTTTTTAAAGGCTAGTAATACAGGCTGCTTATTCTGACCAGACTCTGTCTGTCTGTCTGTTTCCGACACAGAACTTTGCACATATGTGCGGCAGTTCAAGTCGCCACACTCTATGTGGCACACAAAGCAAGAGGAGAAGGTACAAGAAAAGCATAATAGAGACAGTAAGCAGAGGTGTGAGACAAAGGAATAGTAATAACGAAGAACAAAATAGTTTCATTGGAAATCATAAGTCACAAGGAGTGGATGCATCTGCGCCAGCCATTGAGAACGATTTTGAGCCATGTCACCACTTGTTTCCAACCATTGGTTTTTACCGTTCTGGGGACCCCAACCAGGAAGTCTACATCCTCCTACGTGGCTTAGACTAACTGTTGTAGATTTCATTGACTGATGCCATGTTTTGTTTGACCTCCGCTAGCTTTTTTCTAGCCTGACCCTATATCCGCTAACATTGCTCGTCGAGGAAGGCGATGACTAGGCATGCGTAACAAATGCCCTAACCATCTCAGTCTTTGTAACTCCACAACTTTGTCGATTGATTTCCCCTGTTTACCTAGAACTTGACGCTTAACCTCAATGTTGCTCACCTTATTATGCCACTTTACACGGGAGATAGAACGCAGGCACCTATGATCAAAAACAGCTAATCTTTTCATGTCTTCCACTCTCAGTGGCCAGGTCTGACAGCCATAAAGGAGGACGGAGCGGACTGATGAGCAGCACACCCGCCCTTTGGTCGATATTCGGATATCTCGTCTACGCCAGAGTCGGCGTAAACTGGCAAATGCGAAACGAGCCCCCTGTATCCGTGCTGAGATTTCGTCAGAGATCAACGCGTTAGCGTTGGCTGATGGTACTTCCCGAATTAGTGAAGCGGTCAACGTGCTCTACCACTTCACTTCTTATTTCTAATCTAGACGTCGGTGTAGTCTGACCAGACTAGTAGGATGAACAGTATTCTAGGCTGTAGCCTACTGGTTGACAGTTGAATTTCTCCTAGTTTCCCTTGGAATAAGCTCTGGCTCATCGGTTCAATCACTTTGATTCCCGATAATTTGACTATGCATTTGAACCCCATTTTCGTCTACTGAAATTTGAGCGTCTTTTAATGTCACAACTTGAAATTGCAGTTTGTTTAATTATGTGCCCATTATATTGCTATTATCACATGCTAATTGTATCATTGTATAACATTTTTAACACTGATTTCTATTTAATAATAGGTTTCCTACCAAACACCAAATAATGATCAACTTACAGTCCATTTAAAAGTTATCCCACCAAAACTCTCGCCTTATTCAACAAGTACAACTTCAGATGATCGTTTCAAGCATATTGTAAGTAATTTTCTTCTTTGATTATAGCTTGATTCCACACAGTTTTTTTCGTAGAAGTATGGAATTTTCAACATGTGCTATCGGTAGTTCAAATTTTGCAGGCCGACTATTCATATCAGATGTGTGTCGGTAGGGAATTGAACCCCGGACCCCACGTGCATGGTCAGCGAGAGTCCTAACCGCTGTGTCACCGATGCCCTGTTGGGAATTAATTTTAGTTTGCATTTTATTCTAATTTTCAAATATTTTATTCTTTTGCCCTCCGAGAACATAAGGCTTCAAGTTTTGAACTTTGGAGTGTGGTTGTTAGCCTTCTGTCTGTCTGTCTGTTTTCGATAAAGAACTTTGCACCGATGTACAGCAGTTCAAGTCGCCACACTCCCTGTTTTTAGCCTTACTTCCAACCTCCCCTCTTTACTTCCCGTCTTACTGCCTGCCAGGTGAGGTTTATAAGTGCGGCGGCTGGAGATAGAACTCCGGACTACGTGTGGCGTAGTTGGCGAGCATTCTATCACTGAACCACCGAAGCGTTATGCTGATTGCATTGATTTAATTATCTTTTATTTTTCTTTCTCTCCTTCACGTTCCTCAGTGGAACATAGGGCTTCAAGCTAGTGGCTTAAAGTTTCTGTAGCAGTGTTTATTTTTACAGGATGGATTTGCTAGCCTCATGCCCAACCTTTCCTCTTTACCAGCATTATTTCTAGCTTAGCGAGGTGAAGGAGTGCATTGGCCGGAGATCGAAACCCGGACCATGTACATGGCCGACGAGCGTCCCAACCGCTATGCCACCGACGCATACGATTTAATTATCTACTACGTTCTTATGTTATATTCATATATGGTAATCATCTGATCTACGTCACTAGTTTTAGGATATCTCAATTTATATAAACCTTGGCTAGTCAAACCAAGGTGATTTCTATTTTAAGTGTGTTGAATCGGCATCCGACGACGTATAAATCTGTTGCTTTTTTCTGTCTGTGACGAAGTGAAATCGACTCAATTTCTACACTGACTTCCAGATGTCTGGGCAATTCTGATGTGATAAATATCGCAAAATAGTAGAAGTTAAAATATATGGACGAGTGTATCGGGTCGCAATGGCTGAATGGTCTACAAGCTCGCCCTGTAATCGGAAGGTCCTGGGTCCGAATTTCAGTGGGTGCGCACTTATGAGGAGTCCTGAAATAGGACAAAACAGTATTCCAGTGCTCCCTTGTTTTTCTTTGGTGATCAAACGTTATCTGATAATAACTGTTGTGTCCCTCCTACTATTCATATTCATATCCAACAGTTAAAATAATGGTTATTAATGATATTATCAGTATATATATATATATATATATATATATATATATATATTTTAAATGAAGAACCGGATACATCCACAGTTAATCTGGTTGATAAATTGGCGACCTGCTCTAAAAGTGCTTGTTTTTAAAATTGAAATCAAACAACAATGAGAGCTATTCAGTTGAATCACATAACCAGAGATGTTTGCTCTCTGTCTCCTTTGGTATGAGTGGTAGAACATGGTGGAAACTATTGAGATGAGACGTAGAATGTTAGGTAAGAAGAGTTAGTTAATCGATGAGGTTGTCAAGGTGAATCGATAGAGATGACCAGGATACGTGTTGCGCATTCCGAGCAGCCGCCTTTCTCAACAAGCAATATTAGCTGGCATTGAATTAGGTTGAGGAAGAGTTAGAATTAGTAGTGGTTAAACCAAAGCCTACAATCAGCCCATGAAAACACCGACAATTTGGTTTGAGCCAACCAGATAAGGAGTCGTAGACTGCTTTGTTGCTGTCCTTGAGATGGTAAGAACCAATGGCTGGGGTACAGACGCATGCCACTAAACTGTCATATTTCTTTCCATATTACTAATCCTTTCTTCCTCACATTTCTGTTTATTGTAGCAGTGTTGAGTCTCCTTTTTTCTTCTGTTTACCCCTTATGTACTACATTGTGTGACAACTTTGAAGTGCTATACTTCTGTGCAAAGTTCTCTGTTGAAATTTAGTGACTTAATTCAGAAGTGAAGTACCAATAACACTAAAAGCTGTATACATGAGGTGGTACACCACAAGTGTATATTCATAATTTCACTGTCGACATCTTTAACTATTGCTTAGAGTTTCCAAATGACACTTATAAATGAAATGTATTTCATTGTTAATAGCCTGGAAATATAACTGAGCTGCATCTATAAAGGTTCAGGTAGTATGACAGTTTAGTTTAACGTGACGTAAGAGCCTCTATTTTGTTGGTGAGTTGATGAGTAGTGATTGACTGACTGACTGACTAACTGGTTTCAACATAGGACTTTGCACCGATGTGCAGCAGTTCAAGCCGCCACACTTCACTCAGCATACAAAGCCAGAGAAGAAAGTAAACAGAAACGTACGTACGTAACACATGTCCTAACCATCTCAGTTCATATAGCTTAACAGCCTCGTCGACGCCTAACCTCAGTATTGCTTACCCTATTATACCAATTCACATGGGAGATAGAACGCAGGCACTTTTGATCAAAGACAGTAGGTCGACCTTTTCATGTCTTCCATTTTCAATGGCCATTTGTCACTCACAGCCATAAAGGACGATAGAGCGGACTGATGAGCAATACACACGTCCTTTTGTCGATAGCTGGATATCACGTCTACTAAGCCAGAGACGGCGTAAACTGGCATATGCGAAACTAGCCCTCTGTATCTGTACACAGATTTTGTCAGAGATCAACCCGCTGGTACTGGCTGATGCAACTTCCTAAATAAGTGAAGTGGTCAACACTCTCTACCACTTTACTTCCTATTTCTTAACTAGGAGTCAATGTATTCCAGTCCTGTAACATCATCTTGCATTTGGCGGGAGCGAATCGCATGCCAAGGTGTTCATAAGATTGCATTTCATCGGCGTCTTCATCGAGAAGGACTATATCATCTGCATATTTTAAGCCAACGAGATTATTCCCTGGTAACAAGTCAGTCCCTGAGTCACTGAAGTCAGTTAGGGTTAAGTCCATTAACACATCTATGATGAAGTTGAATAGCATTGGGGATAGTGAGTTGGAATCCCTGTTGGACACCACTAGTTGTTACGACTTCAGATGACAACTCGTCGTAAGTTCTCACCTGGCTGGCTGCATGAGTTAGAATAGAGTGCCTTGATCAGTGCAATGTATTTCCTCGGCATTACTTTTACAGCCAAGCATCTACAGAGTCGTATGCCACATTTGGGTCAAGAAATATAACGATTGTTGGACGCCGATAAGAATGCCTATGTTCCAGAATCTGTCGAAGGGTAAAGATATGAACAATACACCCTCTTCCTGGTCTAAAGCCTGCCTGGCTCTCTCGTGTTTGTGCCTCCCGAGCAACACTTGGTCTGCACAATATTATTGAGCCTACGACGTTAGATACTATATTAGTCAAGCTAATTCCTCTGTGATTACCATAAGAAGACTTGTCTCCCTTTCTTCTATATGGGGATAATCAGTGACTCACACCAACCCGATGGGACTTCCTCTGATTCCCAGATGCTTCTTAGTACCTCAGTTAATGCAGAAAGTAAACTGTCCCCACTGTACTTAAATACCCCTGGAGTTATTCCATCAGGTCCCGCTGCTTTTGCCTTGTTTCAGATTAGTGACAGCTTTAGTAACCTCAGTTAGGGACGGAGGACCTGTGTCTATATCCCATTCATGGAGGTGTTGGATGTTCGGTAAGTTGAGTATGACTGTAGGTCAATTAAACTGCTCCTCAAAGTGTTCTTCCCAATGTTCTAGTCGTCTATCCTGGGAGGTAATTACGGTACCATTTTTCTCGGAGATTGTTTCACTTATCTTATGCCTTTTACCACCTGTTTCCCTGATAAGCCTAAATAGTTGTCTGGTGTTACCAATCGCCGATGCCTTTTCCATCTCCTTCGCTTTTGTCGCCCACCACTGTTCATGATCGTTACAAAGACTTCTTGTTGGTTTGCATTTGATAAGCTTTCGCTCCTCATCATAATAATAACTCCCCGGAGTCAGTATTCTTGTGTCAGTCAGTTCGGATCAGGTTGTAGAAATCCAAGGGCTCTTACTAACAGCTTTTACAACTGTGATTAATAAGATATTCATCTCTGCCTTTGCTTTTATCATTTTTATACTAACACTACCTTCCTTTGTCTTTTTTACCCTACACAGTGCCCTCATCCAAGATGTGGTCGTAGATATCAGGCTGAGATAGGCCTTCTACGTCATTTGGTTAAATATCATGGGGAACAGATTGAATTACCTCGAAGAACTAGTTCTGCAGCCAATCAACGCTTGGTTAGACGTCCAGCTTCAGAGGAAAGAACTATTACTTCAGTTGGATTTGATGAAACTGATGAAATAGTGGTGAGTTTCTTTTCTTTTTCTCTTCAATTTTTCACTCGTGTAAAACTTTTAATTTATCGTTGTTGTTGTTTTTTTGTTTTGTTTTTTCATCGAAGAGTGTAAGCACAGTTCCACATTAGGAAATATTCATGTCATGTTTTTTGAGTAATAATCAACTAGATATAATTTATGATTGGAGGATTTCATCATGAGCTGACACCGGTCAGGGAACCATTGGTAAACCTGCATAGAGTACTGCCAAACAGCTGTTTCCTCCATCCTAGTTTGAGACTCGTCAGCGGTACGCACCCACCCCGCTGGGGTTCGAACCCAGAACCTTCTGGTTACAAGGCTAGCAAGCTCGTAGGCCATTAAGCCACTGGGACCCGATTCAATGGCCAGTGCATGAATTCTAGCTTCTGTCAATTCATACACGACATAGCGCAACCGCTTCGCATTGTCTTTATCGATGATGATACCCTCCAACCAATCAAACAAAATCCGTAGAAACCAATACCTGGAAATATAATTTCCTTGTTATTCTTATTCTAATTGTTGACGTCTACTGAAATTCACACTTCTTTTGTGGTAATTTCCCTTCTTTATGTTCATTCTTTGCGTTCTGGATATTGGACACAAGACTTCGAGCATTTGAAGTTTTAGAGTAGCAACGGTATTTCTTTTTAGCGGATGGAACTGCTGGCTTCATATTGAGCCTTCCCTATATTTTGCGCCTTACTATCGGTTACTCTAAACTAGGCGAAAGGTTTACGAGTGTTATGTCAAGGAATCGAATATGGATCTCGCGCGTTGCTGGTGTGTTAGCACTCTACCATTGAACCACTGATGCACTTTAGAGTAGTTTTTACTTCTGATTACAGGGGGATGAGGATTAAAACCTATGGACTTAACCCTAACTCACTTCAGAGACATAGGGATTGACTTGCTACCATCAGGGAATAATCTCGTTGACTTAGAATATGCAGATGAGTAATAGTCCTTCTAGGCGAGGACACTGACAAAATGCAGAGCTGCAACCTTCGAATGTTCGGCATGCGATTCGCTCCCGCCAAATGCAAGATGATGTTACAGGACTGGACTACATCGACTCCTAGTTTAAAAATAGGAAGTGAAGTGGTAGAGAGTGTTGACCTCTTCACTTACTTGGGAAGTACCATCAGCCCCAACGGGTTGATCTCTGACGAAATCTCAGCACCTATACAGAGGGTTAGTTTCGCATATGCCAGTTTACGCCGTCTCTGGCTTAGTAGACGTGATATCCGACTAGCTACCAAAGGACATGTGTACTGCTCAGAAGTCCGCTCCGTTCTCCTTTATGGCTGTCGGTGAGACCTGGCCACTGAGAGTGGCAGACATGAAAAAGCCGGCTAGCTGTCTTTGATCATAAGTGCCTGCGTTCTATCCCCCGTGTTTGGTGGTGGTATAATAAGGTGAGCAATATTGAGGTAAGGCGTCGGTCGAGTGCCAGCTAGGTAATGAGGGGAAATTAATCGACGAGGCTGTGAAGCCACATTGACTGAGATGGTTAGGATATGTGTTACGCATGCCTGTCTATTCATCGCCTTCCTCGACGGGCAATGTTAGCTGACATAGGATAGATCAGGCTGGAAAACACCTAGCGACGATCAAACCAAAAACATGGCATTAGTCAATGAAATCCACAACAGTTAGTTTAAACCAACCACTCACGTATGGGGAGGGACGTGTAGACTTCCTGACTGGTTGGTTGGGGTCCTCGGGACGGTAAACATCAATGAAGGCTGGCGACAATCGGTGATATTGCTCAAACTCATCGTTCTCAAAGGCTGGCTGGCGCGGATGCATCCACTCCTTGTGACTTATAATTTACGATGAAACTATATTGTTCTTCGTTATTGCTATTCCTTATGTCTCTTAACCCTGTCTACTGTCTCTATCAAGCATTTCTTCTACTTTCTTCTCTTGATTTTGTGCTACAAGGAGGGAGTGTGGTGACTTGAACTTCTGCACATCGGTGCAAAGTTCTATGTTGATTCCAGTCAGTTGACAATACCTCAACCTGAATACAACACAATGCTTATTTAGGACTTTCTAACAATCACCTTTGGGAACCTGCAGCACATGCAAAACAGACATCATACATCCAATATACATAATATAAGTAACTTGGTACTGTAGAGAATGGTTGGATTCCAGTTTTTTCGGATTTCTGTCATACAGTCATGCATTCATTGATAACGCCTGCCAAGGGCATCCCATTCACAACGGTGGGTGTTCCTACAAAGTTGGAAGGGCTCGTCACTGTGTAACTACAGAAAACAAGTGCCAGGAAACAGATCGTTTAGTGAGAAAATCAAGAGATATTTATCGATTTTTATGTACAAGGAGGGAGTGTGGTGACTTGAACTTCTGCACATTGATGCACAGTTCTGGGTCGAAAGTAGGCAGGTAGGCAGGCTTATAATGACAAATGTAAAGTAGTTATTAACTGTCACTACACTTTCACAAACTGTTCAAAATTCCACTGGATCTAAAAGCAAACTGGCTAAAATCTATAGTCATTATTCAAAGGTTAACCAACTTTCTACAATAACATCCCTCTACGATCTAGAAGGCAGTAGAGTAATATCGAGAACTGAGTTTTCCCTGTTGCCAGAAAGCAAAAACAGGGTTATGCACCACTGGTTCTTCTTAGATCTTGGAGTTCACTTAGATACGGCAGGTCTAGAGTGTTATAGTCCATTTGTAGTGAAAGCTGGCTGCGAACAAGCCAAAAATTGTAGGCAACAATTTATGTCAATGTTATGTCCCGAATCAGGGTCATGAGAAAAAAAAGCGATAACAAAGCTTAACCTTGAGGAAATCACCAACCAATCACAGCAGATTTAACGTGTGCAAATACGATTCGCAGATATATGGCTTTACTTTCTAAGAAATGATCATAAGCAGGACAGAGTGGCGTTGAGCAAGAAAACAACCAATCAGAAGAGGTTGCTTCTCCGCTAACAATAATGTACATAAAAATCGATAAATATCTCTTGATTTTCTCACTAAACGATCTGTTTCCTGGCACTTGTTTTCTGTCGTTACACAGTGACGAGCCCTTCCAACTTTGTAGGAACACCCACCGTTGTGAATGGGATGCCCTTGGCAGGCGTTATCAATGAATGCATGACTGTATGACAGAAATTCGAAAAAACTGGAATCCAACCATTCTCTACAGTACCAAGTTACTTATATTATGTATATTGGATGTATGATGTCTGTTTTGCATGTGCTGCAGGTTCCCAAAGGTGATTGTTAGAAAGTCCTAAATAAGCATTGTGTTGTATTCAGGTTGAGGTATTGTCAACTGACTGGAATCAACATAGAACTTTGCACCGATGTGCAGAAGTTCAAGTCACCACACTCCCTCCTTGTAGCACAAAATCAAGAGAAGAAAGTAGAAGAAATGCTTGATAGAGACAGTAGACAGGGTTAAGAGACATAAGGAATAGCAATAACGAAGAACAATATAGTTTCATCGTAAATTATAAGTCACAAGGAGTGGATGCATCCGCGCCAGCCAGCCTTTGAGAACGATGAGTTTGAGCAATATCACCGATTGTCGCCAGCCTTCATTGATGTTTACCGTCCCGAGGACCCCAACCAACCAGTCAGGAAGTCTACACGTCCCTCCCCATACGTGAGTGGTTGGTTTAAACTAACTGTTGTGGATTTCATTGACTAATGCCATGTTTTTGGTTTGATCGTCGCTAGGTGTTTTCCAGCCTGATCTATCCTATGTCAGCTAACATTGCCCGTCGAGGAAGGCGATGAATAGACAGGCATGCGTAACACATATCCTAACCATCTCAGTCAATGTGGCTTCACAGCCTCGTCGATTAATTTCCCCTCATTACCTAGCTGGCACTCGACCGACGCCTTACCTCAATATTGTGTCATTATAAGACTTAGCGATTGGTTGATATATATATATGTATTTGGTTTTTAGTCTTTGTGTTAGCCGACCTAGGATTTGATTAGAAAATTGTTGGGGCCGTTTGGAATTCATAAGTCACACTTAGGTTAATACAGAGTAACCGATGATGGCGATGGTAGTGTTGGGCTCCTCGAAAATGGTAAGAGCCGATGTATGGAGGAGAACTGGTGGTGGTGGTGGGGGGGGTGGTCAGTCCTGCAGCTGAAAATCGTTCTCAAATAACACAAATACATTCACACCATGTTGTTGTTTTTTATTTTTACTTCTGATGTAATGCAAAATCATCCACACATTTCTTCATTCTGCTATTGATTTTAGGATAAAAATTCTCCCTCTAAATCAGAAATGTGTAAAACCAAAATACTCACATCACTGCATTCAAAGAATGCATTAGAGTCTAACCAATCAGAAATCAAGATGATGCCATATAACAACTCTCCTTCGTCTGTGTCGTTTGAAACAACAACAACTAAAGTCAATGAGTACACTTCAACTGCTGACGCCTATGATAAGTTAAAAGATATTTCCTCTTTGTCAAATAATGGTATTATTACGACAAGGATATGTTCAACTACCACAGTTACTGCTCCACCAAATCCTGCAAATACAACGTCTGTTTCAATTCCATCAATAGGTAGGTTTCTTACAACTTTGTTTGATTGTTTCATTTGCTGCCTATGTTCATATCTTTTGTATAGAGGTTCGTTTTGTATTGAAGGAGCTTCTGTAGCGAGGATGTTGTTGTGTGTTTCTTCTTCATTTCACAAGATATGTTGAAAAAATAGTTCTTTATGCCTTAAGCAACACATTCTAGAGTCAGCTCTGAAGGATGTGCGTGAAGGTGGTGTAGATCTGCTACCTGAAGAGATAGACTTTTCGACCTCGAGTATTCAGTCGATATCGTCTTACTGGGTGATAGAGTGCAGGCTGCCCAAATCGCATTTAATCAGTTGGTGATCAGTGTTTGTAAGTATGGTATGTGCTGCTTTGCGCCGTCTAAGTGCAAAGTACTGTTACAAGATTGGCAGGAGTGTCTGTACCTGCACTCACTCTTGCTTGCAGGTGAACCGCTTGCAGTTGTCGATAAGTTTGTGTATCTGGGTAGTTGTGTGAGTGCTGGCGTAGGGGTGACGGATGAGATTTCCAACCGTATAATGAAGGCTAGGGTGGTATACATCAACTTGAGCCACCTCTGGCGCCGTCGCGACGTTAGCCTGGCTGTCAAAGGTCGGGTATACAATGCTTCGGTGCGCGCTGCGCTGCTCTACGCCTGTGAAACCTGGCCTCTCCGAGTAGGCCGAGGATGTTCGGCGACTCTGTGTGTCCGATCATCGCTGTCTCCGCAGGACTGCCTGCACTCGATGGCATCATCGCGTGAGTAATTCTGAGGTTTGGTGGCGTGTGTTTGAACACAGTGGAGATCACCATTCGTTGAGTGTCGTCATCTGGAAACACCGGCTCCGGTTGCTTGGACATGTGCTTCGAATGTCATCCCAGAGGCTTCCGTACAGGTATCTGTTCGCTAGCCAACCCTGGGACGGAATGGGAAAGGCGGAGGGGTGATCAGTTCATGATGTGGCGTCGTGGGGTGAAGGATGTTTGTGCTAGATTAGCATCGATTGGTGTGTCATGACTCCCTGGTTGGTATCCGCGAGACAGCTCGAAACGTTATCGGATATGTCCAAGAACCGTAATCAATGGCGAACGTGTTGCAATTTCCTCCTTTCTTCCCTTCCCGATGATAGTTGACGAATACTGTTTGAACTTGTTAAGTATGACTGTTTTCCTTCGAGATGAAGTTCTTTATCTGTTCTCTACTTAAATTTTTTTTTACTTTTGATCTATGTTGTTTTATTATTATTATTGTGTGGTGCATCTTTCTTGGTGCCATGTTGTATCAAGTTTTTTTCTGAGTTTAAAAATTAAGCAACACTAGAATTACAGTCAAATGGGACCCGCCTGGGCTCGAGTCCCACGCCATCTGCTTCATTCTCGCCAGCTGGGTGGTAGTATCATAGGCCTATAACCCTAATAGATGAAAAGAAACCTACTCTGGCTAACTCTGTTCAAACCACAAAGGATCGGAAGTTTCTATACACTGATAGGTTAATGCGTATGCAAGCTTCGAAAGAGACATCAGTTCCCCTGAGGCTACAGATAAGTGGAGAAGTGTAAATTAGTTTAAGTACAAGGGAAAGTACAAACGATAAAGGAACTCAAACAAAGTGTTGAAATAAACCAGAAAAGATTTTAAAAAAAGTAACAAGAATAATTAAACGATAATGACAGTCTGGAATACCGTAAACAGTAAACATCTCTTTAGGATTTAATTGGTGGATGGTGACTAGCAGTGAAATCCAGGATAAAGTGCGTTTCGTCCCATTTAGGACTCGTCAGCTAGCGGATGTACCTGCATTTCCCGGTGAGTGATGATGTTCCCATCGGGGCTCAAACCCAGTGCCCATAGTTTCCAACACCAAAGCTTTATCCACTAGACCACTTGGGCCATGAGAGCCACCTCTTGTGCAACGGGTCATATTAATCTAATTTAAGTTTTATTTTAGATTTTCCCGTCGATTGATAAAATTAAAATTAAATTAATATGACGCGTTGCGCAAGAGGTGGTGGCTCACGTGGCCCAAGTGGTCTAGTGGATAACGCTTTGGTGTTTGAAACTGTGGGCACTGGGTTGAGCCTCGGTGGGAACATCATCAACCCTCACTGGGGAATGCAGGTACATCCAGTTGCCGACGAGTCCAAAATAGGACGAAATGCGCTTTATCCTTGACTCCGCTGCTAGTCACCATCCACCAGTTATAAAATCTAATTAACTGCTCAGACATCTTCGAAGCATCTGCACAAGAAGCCGACATGTCAACCTGAGACCAAGCGCTCTTCGGTCCAATCAATCGACGTGAAAATCTGAAATAAAAAAATCAATTCAGTTAACATATCTGTTTTTTTCTCTAGTTGGCTCATAAGGGTTAGTTTTATTTTTATGACTTGGTTTGTAAGGGTTAGCTTTGTTTTTGCGAGTTGATCACTGGTTGATATCAGTTAGAGAAGAACCATTGAAAACCAGCCAGGGAGTACTGGACAGTCAGGTGTTTCATCAGCCTAGTTTGGAAATCATCCACAATACACACCCACATGGTGGGATTCGAACCCAGGACCTTCCGGCTACAAGGCAAGCTAACTCGTATACTACTCAGCTACTGAGACCCGACTCCTCAATAGCCAGCCCATCAATTATAACTCTTACCAATTCGTGGTGCATTTAGCGCGACTGGCACCAACCAATGTCGTCGGTGGGACATCCATTCTCACACTTGACGTCTGGATGGACCTCACTGGTCACAAGTTTTCACTAGAACTCCAGGAAACTCCGTCCTGTAGCCAGTCAGTCACCAGCGAGCATTAGATTAATTTTCTATAGTTGGTTTGCAAGGATTAGTTTTGTTTATTTACAAGTTGGTCACAATTCTCTAACGGATATCAATCCGTGATCAACTCGTAAAAACACCATTTCTGTATCAAAAATGTGATTAGTAATCAAATTGTAACTAAGGTCCGGATGGGGGTCGGCTGAGGATTTGTAAGAGGGTAGTGGCGATGTGTTGTTGTCAAAACAAAAAACATAGTTATTAGCGTGAATCATCAACTCATAAAAGAAGTTGAATAAGCGTAATAATGCAGTTACGTCATAAGATGAATAGTTTAATTAATGAGTGAGTTGTGATCAAGGATGTACATAGAAGCAAAGCGAAACATGGAATTACGTAAGAGTTGTGAAATTACAAATGTTAGTAGAAGTCAACAATAACCTTTAAGCTTATTTCTATTCTTTTTTGGAGAAACCTGGTGTAAACACACCCACACATACTTACTTTTACTTTACTTGGGCTATCTCCTACGGGAGGATGAGCCGGCTTCATGAACGTCTCGAATCATCGCTGCCCAGGCGCGGCAATTTGTAAGAGAGTTCATGAAGTCTCATGGGAATTTGGTACGAGTGATGTCCCCAGCATCGCTCGGCCTTTTGTTTGAGAGTGCAGCTCTACTTTACTTTTTACTTTACTTCGGCTATCTCCTACGGGAGGATGAGCCGGCTTCATGAACCAAGTGCAGCTCTAGCCTTTACACAGCCAAGTGTGACCTACAAGGCAGTAGGAGTGGAGTAGGGAGTCCACTATCCATTGGCAGCCAGTGACCGGAGTCCGGTTCATTCGCCTTTTCGAATGGGGCCAGTCATCCAGGGCATCCAATAAGGCCTTTGTCCATACGTCTGCCGGTGAGCTCCGGTGAGCTTCATACACCAGTCGTTGGAGGTTTGGAATCAGGGTTTAGCCATCTCTCCTAGACTGTCATCCAATGGACAGTCAACCCGGTGGAGAGCGCTGGGCATCCGCTTTCGCCCTCTCACTTTGGTGAGAAACACCTCCGCCACGTGAAGGCAGTGAGTAGGACTTCCTCAGGAGAGGCTATTTAAGACGCCCGGTCATATGGGAGCGTTTCAGGAGGTGTGCGGAGGGGTGGCCAACCCACAGCGCAAGGCATCCACCCCCGACCATCCTGAGGCTTTGGAGGCACCCACACATGCGCACACATACAAAAAATAAGGATATAACATGCGAGTGTACAGCTAAGAAAATGAATTCGCCGCCGAAAATAGGCTATTGACTTCACCTGACTTGATGTTTGTGTGCTTGTCTCTTTTTTTCTTTTCTTTTCTAACTTCTTATAACATTTGTAATGTTTATAACTCTTACGTAATTCCATGTTTTCCTTTACTTCTTTCTATCTATGTGAATCTTAATTACAACTCACTCATTAATTAAACTATTCATCCTATTACGTAACTCGTACTAAGGTTTATTCAACTTCTTTTATGTCTTGATTCACGCTAATAACTATCTATGAATGTTCATCACTTTGTCTTCAATAATTCATACTGTCGACAAGTAGATGGAATAGCTATGAGTGGGTGGTTCACCATTAGGCCTAATATTAGCTGACTTCTTTCACGCAAAACTTGATTACGGGAAATTGAAGGACATCATCAAAGAGTTTGGTATGTGTATTACCGTTGTTTCGATGATACATTTATCTTAGCTGATGAGAATGTTAAAATAGACGAATTGTTGCTAAAATTCAACAACATCTACCCTTTGCTTACCTTTACCTGTGAGGAGGAGTAGGAGAATAAACTACATTTCCTGGATGTCTTGCTAAGTAGGAGAGAAGATGGGTTACTTGAGAGAAGCGTGTACAGAAAAAGCACATTTACAGGACACACTTCCTTAGTTACATGCCTATTCAATATAAAAGAAATGTTATTAAATGTCTTACGAGCAGAGCAAGAAAGATATGCATGGATGACTTCTTACAAAAGGAATTTGAATATATTCACGATTCCTTGACGGAGATAGGCTATCCGAGTGGTTTCATAAAGAAACATATGAAACCATCAGAGAAGAAACCTGTGACTCTGACTGCACATAAGAAACCTCTATTTATTAAGTTACAATTTAATGGTGACTTATCAAGTGAGATTTTATTCCAGAGACTTTCCAGGAGTATACGAAGAACATTTTACGCAGCACACCTATGTTTGTCATTCTCTAGCCGACGAAT